GTGCTACGATGGCTGGATTGACAATATTCGGTTGTGCATGTATTCGTCATAAGGATCCAATGCAAGGTACAGGTAACGGAGTGTAGCCAGTAAAGTGGAACCTGAGTGTGTTCGTACTGTTGCCACTGTCACCGATTGATGTAACTCGACGGTAACTGGCTACAATGGCTGGATTGACAATATTCGGTTGTGCGTGTATTCGTCATAAGGATCCAATGCGAGGTACCGTAACCGAGCGAGCAAAGCGAACTTTCGGTACTGTTGCACTGTCTCGATGTAGCTATACCGCAGCCGCCTACAATGGCTGGATTCATATGTTCGGTTGTGCATGTATTCGTCATAAGGATCCAATGCAAGATACCGGCAACGGAGTGTAGCCAGTAAAGCGGAACCTGAGTGTGTTCGGTACTGTTGCCACTGTCGCCGATGTAACTGTACGGTAGCTGGCTACGATGGCTGGATTAATAATGTTCGGTTGTGCGTGTATTCGTCATAAGGATCCAATGCAAGTACCGGTAACGGAGAGTAGCAGTAAAGCGACCTGAGTGTGTTCGGTACTGTTGCCACTGTCACGATCGATGTAACTCTCTGCATACGGTACGGTAGCTGGCTACAATGGCTGGATTGCATGTATTCGTCATAATATGGATCCAAGTAGCGAGCAACTGAGGAAACAGGAGACGAACGCTGAAAAAAACCGAATTTCCTGCTTCCTGTTTCCTGTTCCGGTGAGCCAAAATATAGGGATAGAGATAGGCAAAGCAACTCTACAAATTTAGGGGTAGGAATAAATCATGGTTATTCAAGGTTAGTGCACTCAACACAATAAGCCAGCAGAAGCTACAAAAGTTACAGGTACATACGGGAGTGACAGTTGTAAAATTATGGTTAGCGGGCGGCAACACACGACGAAGTCAGGTGTTGTCGCCAGGGCTACCTTAAATAAAAAGAAGGTTATAATGAGGGAATGATACCGGGCGAAGTCGGGTGTTGTCGCCAGGGCTACCTTGAAAGAAGGGTGCAATCTCAAACATGTCATCCTTCTTCTATCTGTCTGTCTGCCGAGGTATCGCAGCTCCCGCTGACTTATTAAAATATGGCATTCCTTGAATGCTGGATCTCTGAAGCTTTTATATCACATTCCTTGAATGCTGGATCTCTGAAGCTTTTAATTCGTACGGTGCGGTGCGGTACGGTACGGTACAGTACGGTGCGCAGGTACAAAAATCGCCAACGAAAATTCTCTGCAAAATGCTAAAAGACTGCCCACTGATAATTCAGAGGTAATACTTTACTAATACAACACTAAAAGTGTTCGGGGGAAGTGTTCAGGAGAAGTGTTTGAGAGAAGTGAAACCAAATTTGCAGAGGAATGCGATTCTCAGCTACTCTGCTACTGGACGGAGGGAAAGTCACTGGACTTTGCATAACAATCTACTCTGCTACTGGACGGAGGGAAAGTCGCTGAACTTTGCATAACAATATGACCAGCACTCTCAGGTCTCAGGCTGTGGCAGTGATGAGAAAGATTGTAGTAGTTGCTGACAGAATTGGATCTGGTCTGTCCACAGATCAGTGAACCTTTTTTTGAACTGAAGATGCGGGGCGGCTTTGCAGTCTCTGGAACAAAGCACGTGCTTGTGGAAGCTCATGAGCAGCACCAGTACCCATAAAGAAATCACTGAATGCAGGTACTAGCACTGGCTAGCTATACGGTAGCACTGGCTGCAGTATCCTATGCGAGCCGAATCCATAGATATTCATTCGAAACCGGAACTCACTCCATCAGGTTCAAGTTCAGATGCCGATCGATATTGATCAGATCCCAGCTAGCTAGTTCTGGTGGAAGCCAACTGCATTCTGGTGGAAACCAGCCAACTGCATTCTGGTGGAACCCAGCCCGGCATAACATTATGACCAGCACTCTCAGGTCTCAGGCTGTGGCAGTGATGAGAAAGATTGTAGTAGTTGCTGACAGAATTGGATCTGGTCTGTCCCCAGATCAGTGAACCTTTTTTTGAACTGACGATGCGGGGCGGCTTTGCAGTCTCTGGAACAAAGCCAACGTGCTTGTGGAAGCTCATGAGCAGTACCAGTACCCATAAAGAAATCACTGCAATGCAGGTACTAGCACTAGCTAGCTATACGGTAGCACTGGCTGCAGTATCCTATGCGAGCCGAATCCATAGATATTCATTCGAAACCGGAACTCACTCCATCAGGTTCGAGTTCAGATGCCGATCGATATTGATCAGATCCCAGCTAGCTACTTCTGGTGGAAGCCAACTGCATTCAGGTGGAAGCCAACTGCATTCTGCTGGAACCCAGCCCGCATTGCTTGCCGCTGCGTGTGAGGGAAGCCATAGCGCGAACTTCATTCATCAAGCTAGCTAGCTCGATAGTACTACTTCTCAGGATACGGATACTGGAACTCTCCCATCAGGTTCGAGTTCAGATGCCGATAGAAATAGGCCAGGTCGTCTTCTGTCATTCCACCGAATCGCTTCGATGCAGTCCCATATTTGACGATGGCATCCAAATAGCCAGTCACCCTACTTGACGGATCTCCACGAAGGCCTTTGGCAGAGCCTGATGGGACCAACACCGTTCCTCCCTTGTTGTACTTGATCAGACTGCCACCAGCGCATTGGCACAGCTTGGGTACAACCTGATCGGGGAAGAAGATCAGATCTTCCATGCGGACCATTAGGCGTGGAGCCTGTAGATCCAAGTAGGAATTATACCAGTCTTGCCATAAATGCAGCAAGGAGTTGTGTTTTGATATGGATTCTTTTGAGTATGTTACTGTTGCTGGAAAGTAGTGAGATGTACTGTTGACAACCAGAGGAACCTCACCGAGATTTTTCAATAGCTGGTCATCATGAGGTGTTGGGACGAGAGCTGGGCAATGCCTAGTAGGTACTGAATGTTGTTGGTTGTTCAATGGCCAATTCACGTTATACGGCGACCGGCACATGCTTGCCATCCATCGGAAAGGATCTCGGATCGTCACGACGGGCAGTGTTTGTCTTTGAGGGTCCTTCTCTTCCAAGAGGCTTCTATGCGGTGGATTGTGTTTTCCCCAGGGAGTCTTGCTGTGAATTCCGACGTATCGTTTTTCTCCATTCGCGAATTGGATGTTACAGTTTGTCAACAGCAATTCATGAAGGAAATGCGTTCCAGAGTTGAAGAGGCCGGCAACCGCGATTCCCTTTTGACTTCCAGCAATCGTCTGCAAGTGTGATGTGTAGGCAGCGCACTGATCGAGACCTACCGTCCTTGGCTTGTCTCCGTAGAGGTTGGTCACCTCAGTCCATGTCGGTAGTGAAAGATAGGCTTCTTCGGTAAGCGTTTGGATTCTTGCGTTGTCTTGTAGTAAATTTAGGATATCTTCCTTGTCATGTTTGTTTGCAAGCGACAGCTGCCTGAAGTAACTGATGGGGTGTTCCTGAAGGGAGCCATTCTCAACTGCTACGTTAGTGTTTGTGTTTGGCGATTCTTGGTAAGGATCAACGATAGGATCATTATCTCCTTCATGTTGCAAGTAACCGGACACTTTGATGAGGTGTAATGTAATCCAAAGTCGTCCTGAGCTAGCCACAAAGGCGACAATGAAAGTGAGAAACAAGATGTGTCGTACAAGTCCAACTTGCCGCGTCTCATTTGGCCATTTCCTTCTAGTTAATTTACGCGGGCACATCTTGCTGTAACAATGCAAATAGAGGTCGTCACAAGTCTCTTCCCAGGCAGGATCGGCGCTTCGAACATGTCCATTCTGTAGCTCCATTGACCAGAAACAACAATCAGCGATTCCCAGATTTTTGCCCCATGCAGAATTGGCATGAACGGAAGAGGGTCGCCGCACGCGGTTTATGCTGCCGGTACCTGGTAGCTGAGCCACGGCGCTACGGTACAGTACCACTTGAGGACTTGGCCTCAGACTTCCAGCCTCAGACTTCCAGCTAGTAGCTAGACTACTAATGTAGTCAAGCTCTTTGCATACTATGTTGGTTGGTTGGTTGGTTGGTTGCATACATGTACTATGTCTTTGCTGGCTAGCTAGCAGGAATTTGTTAGTAAAACGAAAGTTTAGATCGTAACTCCCAAATGCGGATTGATGCATTGATTGATCAAAACAAACGGTACCACAATGTGGATGGATGGGATGATTGAGCTACCGGTATGCAAATAAATCATATATCAAATAACATCCAAGATTTTCTTGGTTGCCACGGTACTGTAATACTCAATCCTTGAGTTGACAGCTTTTGGCGCAGCTCACACGCAGCTTGGTCACAGATAAGCGCAATCGGGGAAAGCCTCATAAGAGCGACACCGCTTGCTTCGTCGACCATGGTGTTGCAGTTGTGCCAGCAACCTTGCTTCTTGCCTCAGTCCCCATGCACTGAGCATCTGTACGATGCACGCCCGACCGAGAAAGTCTGCGGTCTCCCGGCTGCTAGCTTTCCTGGCTCGACAGGTAGACACCCAGATACGTAGTTTGTTGGCCAGCTCTAGCTAGCCAGGACTTGGATTCCATGGATCCTGTCAGAGGTGCCAGACTGTACCCAAACAGGTCCATGAGTTCCTTGTCCAAGTATCGGTTGGCGTATTGTAGGTCATGTGGGGTCATTCCTCGAAATCGAGTACCAGGTTTCCCATATTTGATAATGGCATCCAGGTATCCCGTATGTTTCATCTTGTCCTCACCCACAACACGGCTCTTGTGGTGTTGTTTTTGTGATTCCGTTGCCATTCGGACAGGAAAGAGTTTTCCCAGCCTCAATTTCCCCCCCGCACATTCACAAACATGGGCGACCACCTTATCTGGAAAATAGATGAGGTCTTCAAATCGCAAGAAGACGTGAGGATAGTCCCGCAACTCAAAATACTCCCTGTACCATTCATTGAACAAATGGACCAGTGAATAGTGATATCGGGTAAAGTTGGCATAGACCACATGAGTTGGAAAGTGATGAAGCTGAAGCTCTGCCGCACTGAGAAAGTTTGTTGGCTCCCTGGCAACGAGATCCTCTGGAGGAGGCGTTGTTCCCTTGGGTGGGCTGGGCAATTCTCCCTTTTTCTTTATTTCCTTGTCCATGAAAATGCCTTCAAAGTGACTGGCTTGATTCTTTTCCTTCACAAGGGCGTCTCCATCCATCATGGGTTTATATCCCTTGTCGAGCAGCCTTTTCTTTTCATCGTCTGTTGGGTACAAGTTGGGACAATGATATCGGTGATCGGTGGGTCGAAAGGGTCGAGGCCACCGACTGGTATAGTAATTCACACACATGCTCTGCAGCCACCGGAAGGGATCCCGGACCATAATGGCCGGCATGACATTTTCTGGTTTGGCATCTTTTTGTCCTGGCACTGGGTGTGTTTTTCGATACTTGGCATCCTTGGGTGGTGTGTGCTTGCCATACGGCACCTGGGCTCTCATGCCAGTCTTTTTCCTTCCAAATCGTTTTTGCTTTTTTGGCAAGACGCAATTGTCTCTCAACGTGTCTTCTAGTAGATTGGTTCCGGTATTGAACATGCCCGCCACGGCCAAGAACTTTCGGGCCAATTCTTCTTCGGTGCCTTGATTGAATGCCTCGCATTGATCGTGGTTCATCAAGCGTGGTTCTACTCCGTACATGGACGTAATATTGCCCCACGACGGCAACTGATGGTACGTTTCTTCGGAAAGATACTCAATTCTGGCATTGTTGGAAAGTAAGGAGAGGATCCTCTCCTTGTCGTGTCCTTCGATCTGGGAGAGTTCCACAAAATACTGCATGGGTTTTTCATCGGGATCCTCGTCATCCTCCTCGTCCGCCGGTGGTTTGGGTGGCATTTCTTTTCTTTCCGAGCAATCGACTTGTTGTTTGACCAGCAACGCCCGCGATAACATGTCTTTGTCTTTATTGTTTTCGCCATTGTCCGTGATTCGAAAGACGGCACTGGCGACCCCGTAATTGAGAATTCCCAGAATGACCACAATGGCGCCGATGGGCCACAAGTATCGTGTGTGATTTCGGAGATTCTTGGCAATGCGGAGTCTCTTTCGTGCCTCCTTTTTGACACTTTCCAGCATCGAATGCTTTGGTAGGGATGGCATGATGGTCGTTTGTCTATGGATTAAGGTAGTTTTGTTTGAGTGTGGATTGGAGTTTGTTGCTTTGCCAGAAAGTGGTTGCAGACAAATAAATTTCCGAAACGATGACCCGTGAGGGGCAAAGATGTCACACTTTGATGACCCGACAAACACACTTTTTCCCGCTTTGCAGGTTTGAAGAACAACCAATCATGCCACCTTGGATCTTTGTTGCGAGGACTGTCCTTGCGTCCTTTGAGTGTGTACCACAGCACACAGCCCTCCGTTTCCCTTCACACACCAACAACCATCATTGAGAGAGAGAAAGACTCAGCAGAAGGAGGAACCAAAGTAAAACAAAAGCAGAACAACAACAGTAAAGCAGTACCACGTAGCATGCCGAAGAAGGACAAGAGCAAGAAGAAGGATGCGACTCCTATGTCTCCCGTGGAACGTCTCCAAGAGCTGTCGCTGTTGAATCGCATTTCCGAGACATTGAAAGGTCCTTTGAACGGTCTGGAAGACAAGACGTTGAGTGAATTCATCTTGAGCGTCACTCAAAAGGAAGCGTCTTCTTTGTTGAAAAAGCGTGCCAAACAGGGAGACTCGCTCATGTTCGATACGCCGGCCATTTTAGAAGTCGCAAGACAAATCCAAGAAAAACTCAAACCCACCGAGTTGCCGCTCAGTACCTGTAGTACGCTAGTCGAACTCGTGCAGAGTGACTCGCCACATCACAAACGACAGCGAGACAAGTTGCAACAAAAGCAATTGGAAAAACAAAAGCAGCAAGGAGTCAAGACGGAAGAGACAACTAGCAATAGTCGCTATGTGGCGTCCAATCCAACCGTCGAAACATTCACAAAGAAAAACGCCTTTCCCGGATTGGCCAAACCCAATTTGGACAGTTCCATTCCGCTCAATGAGGGAGACTTTTTCGAACACGTCGAGGGAAAACGAAACAACAGCAACAGCAACAACAACGGTCATAATAAACGATTCAAACACTCCGACCCCATGGCTCTTTACAGCATTCATCGGGGCGTCATTCAAAAGATTATGGAGCATGGTGTAGTAGTACAGTTGCAATCAACACCACCTTCAGAAGGAATGGTCTACACCAACCAAATCAGCAAACAACGCATTGATCATCCCAGTCAAGCCAAAGATGTCACTATCAAACGCGGCAATTCCGTATGGTGCAAGATCATTTCCAAACATCCCAAATTGATGTTATCCATCAAGGATGTCGAGCAAAAAACGGGACGAGATCTCATGCCGCATCGCAGTCAAGCCGCACTCGACAACAATGACAAAAAGGCACCGTCGACGGAAGTCCATCATCCCGGATTGGATGTCGCTGCACTCAAACAACGAGAAGCCGAAGAAGAAGCCAATCGTATCATGACGGAGCAAATGATGAATGCAAACAATACAACCAAAGATAGTAGTGATCCGTATTCGTATTACAGCAATCCACGACACCAACCACAAGCACAAACACAACAAAGTCAACAACCAAAGGCACAACCCGTCAAACGCCGCAAACAACAGTTGACGGAACATGAACTCTACGAAGCACAACAATTGATCCGATCCGGCGTCTTGCCCGTCGAAGAGTATCCCACGTACGATGCGGCGGCCGGTGGAATGTTGGCCATGGAAGAAACCGAAGAAGAAACACAGGTCGAATTGGCCGAATACGAACCCGCATTCCTCAAGGGACAAACACGACGATCGGGACGCGTCGATTTGGAACCCGTCAAAATTGTCAAGAATCCAGATGGATCGCTCAGTCGCGCTGCCATGCAACAAGTCAGTATGGCCAAGGAACGACGAGAACTCAAACAAGCCCAAGCCAATCAGCTGATTGATAGCATTCCGAAAGATCTCAATCGGCCGTGGGAGGATCCCGTGCCGGAAGCGGGAGAACGACGGTTTGCGCAGGAACTTCGATCCATCAACTTGAGTAGTTTTGAAAAGGGAGATGCTCCGCAGTGGAAACAAAAGGCGGAAAACAAAACGCTCAGTTACGGTATCATTTCCAACAAATCACTCAAGGCACAACGAGAGAGTTTGCCCATTTACAAACTCAAGGCGGAATTGATGGCAGCCATGATGAGCAATCAGGTGCTCGTCGTCATTGGAGAAACGGGAAGTGGAAAGACGACTCAAATGACACAGTACATGGTGGAATTGGGATTGACATCTGTAAATGGTCAAAAGGGGATGATTGGATGTACACAGCCTCGTCGTGTGGCGGCTGTTTCCGTGGCCAAACGTGTCGCCGAAGAGTTTGGATGTGCGCTGGGAGAACAGGTGGGGTACTCGATTCGATTTGAAGATGTCACGTCACCCGACACCATTATCAAGTACATGACAGATGGTATGCTCATGCGAGAGTACCTGGCCGACAATGATCTCAAACGATACTCGGTATTAATGCTGGATGAAGCCCACGAGCGAACAATACACACGGACGTGCTCTTTGGACTTCTCCACGATCTTTGCCGCCGCCGACCGGATCTCAAAATCATTGTTACTTCCGCAACCCTCGATGCCGAAAAGTTCTCGAGCTACTTTTTTGATTGTCCCATCTTTACCATTCCCGGACGAACTTTTCCCGTGGAGATTCTCTACACCAAAGAACCCGAACCAGATTACTTGGACGCGGCCATGATTACGGTTATGCAAATCCACTTGTCAGAACCAGCTGGTGACGTTTTGGTGTTTTTGACTGGGCAGGAAGAAATTGATACGTGTTGCGAAACGCTCTTCACTCGCATGGAGGCACTGGGAGATTTGGCCCCCGAGTTGATCATTCTACCAGTCTACTCCTCGCTGCCGTCGGAAATCCAATCGCGCATCTTCGAGCCAGCACCGACAGGATCTCGCAAATGTGTAGTCGCCACCAACATTGCAGAAGCATCGTTGACCATTGATGGAGTCTATTACGTGGTGGATCCGGGATTCTCCAAACAAAAGGCGTTCAATCCCAAGTTGGGAATGGATTCGTTGGTTGTAACACCCATCAGTCAAGCCTCGGCGAGACAGCGTGCTGGGCGTGCGGGAAGGACAGGACCGGGCAAATGCTACCGATTGTACACGGAGCAAGCCTTCAAAACGGAAATGCTGCCCACGAACGTTCCGGAGATTCAGCGAACAAACCTGGGGAATGTTGTTCTTCAGTTGAAAGCAATGGGCATCAACGATCTGCTGGGCTTCAACTTTATGGATCCGCCGCCAGTGGCGACGCTGGTGGGTGCCTTGGAGAACTTGCATGCCTTGGGGGCCCTGGACGAGGAAGGCTTGCTATCGCGATTGGGTCGGAAGATGGCAGAGTTTCCTCTCGAGCCCAGCTTGTCGAAAATGTTGATTCTCTCTGTGGATCTAGGTTGTTCGGAAGAGATCTTGACGATCACGGCAATGCTCTCTGTGGAAAACCCGTTTTACAGACCACGCGACAAACAGGCACAAGCCGACATGAAGAAGGCCAAGTTCCATCAAGCTGAAGGGGATCATATAACACTCTTGACAGTGTACAAGGCATGGGAGGCCGCCAAGTTTTCTTCGCCGTGGTGCTTCGAGAACTTTATTCAGGCTCGGAGCATGCGACGAGCACAAGATGTTCGAAAACAGTTGGTAACAATCATGGATCGCTATCGTTTGTTGTTGCTGAGTGCTGGGAAGAATTACAAGATCATCTGCAAGGCTATCACCGCAGGATTCTTCACCAATGCAGCAAAGAAAGACCCACAGGAAGGATACCGCACTCTTGTGGATCAGAACCCAGTCTACATCCATCCATCTTCGGCAGTTTTCAACAAGAATCCTGAATACGTAATCTATCATGAACTGGTGCTGACGACGAAAGAGTACATGCGAAACATCATGGTGATCGATCCCAAATGGTTGACAGAATTGGCGCCGGCATTCTATCAAAAGGCCGACCCCAACAAGATGACCAAGCAGAAGCGACGAGAAAAGATTGAACCTCTGCACGACAGGTTCAATCCCAAGGATTCCTGGCGTCTTTCAAAGCGAAAGGGATGAGCTTTGCAAACATCTGAAATTCCATTTTTGCATCATTGCTTGTGCATTTCGTTCTGTACGAAGTTCTGCTTTGCTATTGAATTCCTCTGCATGTTGATCTACCTTGCACTGGATCCGTATCAGATTGATTCTCGTCATCGTATTAGTAGTCTCATGATTTCCTGAGCCAGCATCGACCACCCTAGTTCATCGTACGGTTCGCTACTGCAGATTAAGATATAGTAATACAAAAGTCTAGCAGTCATGTTACTAAAAGCCGAGGAAGATTGTCCTTGTTGCCCGCAACGCTTTGTCTAGTCAGAAAAACGGGAGATGGATTCGACCCACGCGACCAATCTAAAAAGCGGCTTTTCGTGCGGTTTTCGCCCCGATGATGAATCG